TTTATTTCATCATACGCCTATGTCATTTAATTCTTAATGGCGACTTTAACCGCTGGCTTGCACCATTTCTACAACTTGAACGATCTGCTTTAAAGCGCCCATGTGAGCCCCTTCACCTGCCGGGAGGGCCCTGGGAGGTCGCCCTGCATGGCGCGTGGGGCCTGGGAGTGGCTGGATTTGGGCCTTGGGGCTGGCACGTGTTGGCCCTCCTGACTCAGCACCCGCTGCTCTCTGTGCCTGGTTTACGTCCAGACCCTTCCATTTATTAAAACTGTTCTTGTTCTGGGCACCACAGGCTCCTGAGTCTGCAGGTGCCAGCAGGGGTGAGGCCACTTGGCAGGAGATGGGTGGGGGTGGGGTACGACCTGGGGGAGGGAGGGAGGGAGGACGCTCAGCGGCCAAGCCTGCTGGTTTGCCCCCCACGATTGCCCTTGGGGATCACCGACCCACGGAGGCTGCCACACGCCCTCCAGGACCGTGCAAACCAGAATAACCCAAAGACTCGGGGATGATACCAGGCTGGAGGCCTCTGTCGTGGAGACCACACGCACAGACCCTTCAAAACCCACGCGGGGAGCACGAGGCCCTGAGGGAGGAGGGTGCACCTCCACCTGCCTGAGGCTTCTTCTCTCCCCCGGGAGATGAACTTGGGGAGAGCCAGGAACCGCTCACAAAGCACGTAGGGGCGCAGCAGGTGGACAGGTGGCTCCAGCCGGTGGGTGGTAAGATCCCAGCTGGCATCTCTGAGCCCCGGGTCCTGGAAAAGGAGCTGCCTGTTACGGCTGGGGCGGCCTTGTCCCTCAGGCTGTGGTCCTCTAGGACCCTGGCGGGACGGGGCAGGACGACCCTCCCTGGCTTCCACCCGGGGTCTCCAGAGCAGTGGGTGAAGGCTAGACACAGGCGTCCTCGGGGGACACTGCCAGGGACCCTCCGCAGGTCCCAGTGCCCGACAGGGCCCACGTCAGCATGCTGGCCAGCCTGGTGGGAGGGACAGTGCTGACCATCGCGGGCTCATTCACGGAGGCAGCTCTGCCTAGGGCCCCAGCTTCAGAATCAGACGGCCCTGGGCTCACACCCCCTCTCTGTGTGGCCTTGGTCGTGGTATCCAACCTCCCCGCACCTCACTTGTCCCATCTGTGAAATGGGGTACTAATCCTACCTACCTCAGAGGGCGCCAGGACCTGGCAGGGGCCCAGCTGGCTAAATGCTTCCTCCCCTCTCTGGTTACAGTTGCACAGAACATACTTGAAACACCTTTTGTTTCGCTCAGGATTCCGTCTGCAGGTCCTCAGCTCTGCTGGGCCGTTCCCTGCTGGGGTCTCCCCTGAGGCTGCAGTCAGATGTCCCCAGGCACTGCCGTCACCTGAGGGGTCACCTGAGGGCTCCGAGGGCCTGCAGGAGATCGGCAGGGGGCAGGGCTGTGACCGAGTGCCCTGCAGGGCGGTGGGGCGTCTCCCAGAGAGCCGATGTCCCAGTGAGAAGCACCAGAAGCTTCCGTGACCCAGTGTCTCGCCCCCCGACTCCCCTGACCCATGCACACGCAAGATGAGGGGACATGGACCTTCCTCTCGGTGGCAGGGGGTCAGAGAACTTGAGGCAGTGTCTTAAACCTCCACAGAGACTTTGCCTGAACCCCTCAACAAATACTTGGCTTGGTCGTCGGAGCAGCAGAAAGCCTGGCTTGCCAGTGGTTTCTAAGACTTAAGTTTTTTTGTTTTGTTTTGTTTTTGAGAGAGAAAGAGCCAGGAGAGGGGCAGAGACAGAGAGAGAGAGAGAGAGAAAGAGAGAGAATCCCAACTAGGCTCAGAACCATCAGTGCAGAGCCTGACTCAGGGCTCGATCCCACAAACCATGAGGTCGTGACCTGAGCCGCAATCAAGAGTCCAGGGACCAGGTTCTGAGCTGTCAGCACAGAGCCTGATGCAAGGCTGCAACTCACAAACCCCAAGATCACGACCTGAGCTGAAGTCGGACACTTAACTGACTGAGCCGCATTAAATTTTTTTTTTAAAAAAGAGTCGGACGCTTAACCAACTGAGCCACCCAGGTGCCCCAAGACTTAAATTTTTTACAGCAGTTTTATGCTCCCAGCAAAACTGGGAGGAAGATACAGAGATTTCCCACATCCGCCACCCAGGTGGTGCATGTTGTTACAATCCCTGAAGCTATGTGGACACAACATAATCGGCCAAAGTCCACAGCTGACGTGAGTGTTCGCTCTTGGTGCACATTCTGGGGGTTTGGACCGATGTATGATGAGCCCCAGCCATCATTATAATGTCATACAGACCAAGTTCACTGCCCTGCACATCTTCTGCACCCCTCCTGTCCCCAGCCCCTGGCAACCACTGATCTGGTGCTGCCTCTGTAATTGCCTTTTCCAGATCATCATATAGTTGGGACTATATAGTATGCAGCCTTTTCCGACTGGCTCATCTCCTCTCACGTAAACATACACATTTAAGGCCCCTTCATGTCTTTCCACATTTTGATGGGCCATTCCTTTTTAGGGCTGAATAATATCCCGCTGTCTGGATGGACCACGGTGTTATTTATCCACCGCCTGGTGAAGGACATCTTGGTGGCTTCCAAGTTTGGGCAGCTATGGATGAAGCTGCCGTAAACATCTGCGCACAGATTTTCTTTTCTTTTCTTTTCTTTTCTTTTCTTTTCTTTTCTTTTCTTTTCTTTTCTTTTCTTTTTTCTTAACATTTATTTATTTATTTTTGAGAGAGCATGAGCAGGGGAGGGGCAGAGAGAGAGGGAGACACAGAATCCGAGGCAGGCTCCAGACTCCGAGCCGTCAGCACAGAGCCCGACGTGGGGCTCGAACCCACAAACCGTGAGATCATGACCTGAGCCCAAAGTCCGGCGCTTAACCGACTGAGCCACCCAGGCGCCCCTGTGTACAGGTTTTCGTGGGGACCTAAGTTTTTCCCTCCTTTGGGGGCTAAAGAGGCACAATTTCTGGATTGTACAGTAGGAAGATGGTGCGTCTTCCTAGGAACCAGCCAAACCCTCTTCCAAAGTGACAGCATTTTACATCCAGCCTACTGACTTTTCTTGTTTTTCTCCTGGTCAGAAAACGCCGACGTTACTCATCTTGACGCAGGTTGGTCACTCCCGCCCTTAACGCCTCGGCCCCCGGCCAGGTTGGCAGGAACTCAAGTCGGTCTGGGCGAGTGGCCGTTTGGTTCGGGGGAATGAGGCTGCGCTGTGTCAGCTCAGCGGCTGGAGGCGCTGCCGGAACCCGGCCCCGGGGTCTTGCGGCGAGCGCTAGAGATGCGCACTAGTAAGACGTCTGGAACACTCGCGGGCTTGGGGCAGGGCTCTCCGGAATCCTGGGCCTTCAGCCCGCGGAGCACAGTTTCAAGCAAACGACTCCTCTGGCCGACGCACCGGGACCCTTCGAGCCCGGGACGCCCTGTGTCCTCACGTCCGCGACTGGCGGACAAGGCTTGGCCGCTGTTTGTGGCTGGCGGTTCGGAGCCACGCGCTGCTGTCCTAAGGCTCACAGAGCCTCTGGACCCCTTCGGTCCAACCTGACAGTACCGTGGTCCTGCCAGGGCTCGGGGATGAGAGCCGGGAGCAGCTTCTGTCCCCTGGAGTTGGCGTTTCTCGGGAAGACGGGCAAGACACGTGAACCTGTGCCGAGGGCCTGCTTTGAGGTTAGCAGGTGACATCAGGGGACATCCCCACGGGGAGCTGCAGGCGACAGGACTTTGACGTCCGGGAGGGGGTGAGCAGGCAGACAGGTGCAAATCACTGGTGTGTTGGGGCCACCGGGGGAGCGTGAGGGGCTGTGAGGGAGGAGACCAGGCTGCAGAGGCTGACACAGCCCCAAATTGTGCCGCTGGCCAGAGGTGGCCCAAGTCCCGCTCAAGAACAGCCGAGGTCCACCATGTGCCAGGCACGGCCCTGGGCCTCTGGCCACTGGACCCCAGGCACCAGGCTCCCTGCGGGGCCTTCCCAGGTGAGCCCTGGCCTTTACGTCCGCTCTGGATGGCTTTTCCCATTTTATAAGAAACCCGAGGCTCAGAGAGGTTGACAAATGTGACCAAAGACACACAGCAGAGTGAGGTTTCAATCCAGGCCCATCTTGACACCGGCATGGAGAGAGACTGGTCGGCACAGGGAGGGTGTGTGTGTGTGTGTGTGTGTGTGTGTGTGTGCGCGCACGTGCGCGGCCTCTCAAGCTGAAGATTATGTTTTCGAGGGAAATGCAGACTGAGTGAACGGATGACACTCTCTGGTTGCAAATGTCCTTGAGGAGGCAAAGGACACGGGCTGCAGGGGAGAGAGGGGAGGGGGCCTGGTAGCCGGAGGAACGAGACAGGGCCCAACAGCAGGGATGAAGTCACAGGACCCCCCCCCCCCCCCCCCCCGGCTTGAGGCCCACGCGGAGCGTCCCCAGCCCTGCGGCACCACGGGCCCCAGAGCCCCTTCCGCGCCCTGACCGCAGCCCTCGAGAAAGCAGCCGTTGGGAGAGTTTGTAGCGATAAAAATATCAGCTTGGTTGCTTACAAAAATCGCTCGCAGCCTAAAAGCGCTCGTCCCTCGTTGTCATGGAATTGACAATACTGATAAGGATCAAAGGGACCAGAATAGATGCGAGGGGCTGGTTCCCACTTAACTCTTAGAATCTCTTTCTCTTCTAAATTTCTGGCTCTCTCCTGAAGAACATTCTAGATGCTGTCGTGGCCACTGCCCGTCATTCTGAATGCCACATCCTCTGCTGTCCTGGAACAGCACCCCCTTCCTGGGATAAGCCCCCCCCTCCCCCTCCCCCAGCCATGCAGGGACCATCCGACCACCCACGCTCCTCACCAGCAGGTGGCCATGTGACCCACGCTAGGCCAATCAGAATTCTTCCCACGGGGATGGAGCCAGGAGGGTCAGGCCCTCTCGGGAGGCGGGGGTGGGGCGCTGTGAGCCAGGAGCTGGGGGCGACCAGAGACAAAGACCAAAGGCCCCCTCTGCGACCTGGTCTCTGGCTCCAGTGCCTCCGGGCCCCTGCCCCGCCCTGGCTGGAGCCCCTGTGTGGTTACATGAGCTGCGGCCCCTGCCGTTTCCAAGTCCTCATCCAGGCCCCGAGCTCACCCGCCACACCCCACCCTGCCCTGCTCCTGGTGCGGCCCGAGGTGAGGAGGCCCCTTCCACGGACGGACCACCTGCCTCCCCGCCGCTCGACCGCGTCTCCACTTAAACATCACCTCTTCGGAGGCCTGCCCCGACCACCCCCTACGTGAACCCCTGTTATTCTCTAGCCGGCCCCTCGTTTTTCCCCTCGTTCGCATTTGTCACAAGCGGTGACGTACGTGGGGAGGGCATCTCACCTGTCATCACCGCCCCCCGTCCCCCATGACTGCCAAACGACCGGCCGGCAGGGACCCATACGGCTGGATCAGTCAGGACCCTCTCAGGGGCAAGTTTCAGAAACCCAATCCGAACGTACGGCCGGCGTACCTGGGGCGTCCGGACCAGAGCGAGGCATCGGAGATGTCACCGGGCCTCTGTGACTCGTCCCTCCACCAGCCCCACGGGGTCCCTCCAGCAGAAAGTAAGGCCCGGTGGGAGCCCTGACCCCCCCGCCCCCAGGCCCACTTCCTCACATGCTCTCCCAGCCACGAGGCATCTGGCTCTGTGTCCCTGGAGCCGAGAAGAAAGCGGGGCTGGAGCTCTGGTCTGGAGCTGCCGGCATCCAAGGGACACGTGCAACAGGCACGCAGAAGACAGTCCCAGGCCAGGCCCCAGGGCAGCGTCTGGGGCAGAGCTCAGGTGGGGCTGGGGGAACAGAGAGGGGGTCCTGAGTGTGCTTTGCAGAGGGAGGCCCAGGCGGGGCCCCCGGGGGAGGGGGCGGTGGCTTGGAGGGCCCTCGAGCACTCGGGGGGCCTGGGGGCTGGGGAAGCGAGGTCGCTAACTGCAGCCGCTCCCAGGGCCTTCCGCCAAACGCACACATGGGCCTGGCCGGTAGGTGCGTCCCAGGTGGGCGACCCCGTGCCAGAACCAGGACTGCCCCCTGCTCTGACCCAGCAGCATCCCCATCTCGTGGACGTGATGACAGAGGCCCAGGAGGGAGGCGCGACCTGCCCACGGCCACGCGGCTGGGGCGCAGGGACACAGAGTCCCAGAGAAGCTTCCCTCCTTCCTTGGGTCAAAACGGAAAAATCCCGGTCGCCCGCAGCAACCAGTGGCTCAACAAGGCAGCCGCAGTTATCATTAAATGTCCCTTCCAACCCCAGGAAAGCTGAGATGGGGAAGCCATCGGGCCCCTCACAGCCTTTGGCTAAAAAGGGACAATTAGATGCGTCGGGGTTGGGGGGGGGGAGTTAACCGCGGGCCCCAGAGACCAAGATCTCCCCGTGTTGGAGCCTCCCCGGGAGAATGACAGCCCTTCTGGGGACAGGACTTTGCAAACCAGGCAGGTGTCGCCCCTGTGACATCCTGGGGGCCGGGGCGTGGGAGTGCTTTCCCGGGTATCAGCAGCACCCACGAATCCTGCACGTCTCGGGGCTCTATAGACAAATGTTGGAGAACCCGGAGGCGAACCTTTGGCTGAGGACTGAGCTCTTTTCTCCCCATGAACACGTTACCCCCCAGAAACCTGGCCCGCGTGCATTTTATCCAGCAACGCACATCCTGCGCGTCCCCCCCCGAACGTCATATTGTGCATATGGTTCCACTGACTACAATCTTTATTTCTAGTAACTTCCCTTGTCCCTCTTTTCTTTCTCACCACCCACCTTTCCTCCCAGCCCAGGCCCCCCTCGGTGGGCGTCTGCAAACCCTTAGCTGCTCTGCCCGGGCGGACCTTCGTGACCACCACCACGGGCGGACGAGGACGCAGTGACCGTGTCAAGAAAGGCCACGGTGTCTCTTGGGAAAACTGCTCCATGAACCCTGAGTTATGTCCCCGTCTCCCGTGGCCACTGCAACAAAGTCCACAACCGGGTAACTCAGAGCATCGTCATGTGGGCTGAATTGTGACCCCAAAATTAACCTTGTGTTCTGAACCCCCAGCGTCTCAAAATGTGACAGGGTCTTTAAGGGGGTAATAATGGTAAAATGAGGTCACGAGGGTGGGCCCCAATCCAAGAGGCCTGGGGTCCTTCTAAGAGGAGGATTTCAGGGCACAGACACTCACAGAGGAACGACCACATGGGGGTGGACACAGGACAAGACGGCCCTGCCCACACCTTGTTTCTGGCTCCCTCTGCAGGAGCAGGGGTGACCTCGGAGGCGGGGGGGGGGTCGGTTCGGGCCGCTCTCCCACCTTCTGCTGAATGACCGCAACCCCGGGGCATTCCTGGGCTTGTAGACACATGTCCCCAGTCTCTGCCTCCATTGTCACATGATGTGTCCTTGTCCAGCTCTCCTTCTAAGGACACCGGCCATTGGGCTAGGACCCCCTGGAATCCATTCGGACCTCCTCTGAACCTGTGCGGAGACCCTATTTCCAAACAAGGTCATGTTCACAGGTACTGGGGCTTGGGCCTTTGGACACCGTCGAAGCCACAGCATGCCGCCACCCACGTAGTCCGGCTCCCCGTGAGGCCGCCACGTGGGGGAGAGGCCCCGGCAGCTCCATCCGCGCACTGGGAGCCTTGGCCCAGGCAGCAGACGGACGGGGCGGGGCGGGGGGAGGAGCCACCACCCGCCCGTGACCGCGCTCGCCACGCGGCTCGGGAACTGCCAGCGGAGCCCGCTTCACCTCCAGACTCGCAAGCAGAAGGAGCCAACGCTGTTGCGCGAACCACCGGTTTGGGGGGCACCGGGTAACGCACGCCCTGTCCCGCTTTCCACAAAGGCCACCGGCCGTCCGTTCCCCCGGCCAAGGCCGGGGTCGCCTCTTCCGTCCTGCCTCACCCTCCGCATCGACTGAGCGTTACCACGCAGGACATTTTTTTTAGGCTTATTCATTTATTTTGAGAGAGAACGAGAACCAGCAGGGGAGGGGCGGAGGGAGAGAGAATCGGGGCCTTCCATCCAGCAAACCCAACCGGGAGCCAGAGGCGGAGACCCCACGGATGTGGTCCATACGGGGCAGCTCCCAGGGCGCCACGCAGACAGGAGGGGCCGAAGGACAAGCCCGGGGAGACGTCCAGGGAAGTCTGGCGATGAACCCGCCAAGGTCATCCTGTCAGCGGCTGCTGAGATATCTGGGCATCTAGGGCTGGAAGAAACCTCCCCCGAGGCTTCTTAGTCTTTGGGAGGAAGCGGGGGCCCCACCGAAGATCTGATAAAATCCAGGGTTTCCTCGCAGCAATCGGGGAGGAACCCCTGTTCCTCCAGTTCCCATCGCCTCCAGTTCCCAGCAGCACAAACACCACTTGAAACAGCTTTCTGCCAGAAAGGGAATTGACCGTCTCACAGAGCGGGTGTCAGGTAAGGGTGGATCCAGGGTCCCAACACCGCCGGGGGTTGGCTCTCTCTCCATCTCTGTGTTCTGCTTGTCATCTCAACACGTCAGTGCTTGGCTACAGCAGCCTGAGCTTATCCCCCCAAGTTAGGAAGCCTCAAGGAAGAAACCCACCAGCTACACCCAGCGGAGGTTCTGAGGAAAGTTCTGGGGGGGGGGGGGCACGCGTGAGCCACACGCCCATCCCTCACCAACCACTTGTGTCCCCGTGGATCCTGTCTCGTGGCTGGCCTCCTGCTCGGCGACTGACAGCCCCACCTCCCCCATGGGAGAGGGAGATTGGGTGAGAAAGCTTTTCAAACCAACACTAACTGTGGTGACCACAGTCCACGCCCTTGGACACATGACATTTCAGGGACCGCTGACCACCGCCAACCTCTTTCCTTTACAGAAAGAGGAACAGAGCCATAGATCAAGGTCACCCAGTGAGTCGGGAACAAAGCCGTCTGGGCTTTCTCTCAGAGAGCCTGAAGCCTATTAAATCCTTAAATGGCATTATCAAGGGACATGCACTGAGTTTCCATAATCCTCCATGGGGATTAGGAAAATGCAGCCGAGCTAAGCTCCTTCCAGGGACGAAACAGCTGCCTGCCCCCAGCACTGTGCTTCTCCTGAGCCCGCAGCAGCCCCTGGAGGGCAGACAGCAGCCCCTTCGGCAAACGCCCTCGGGCCTCAGGACCCCTCCCCACCTCATAGCACTGCAGCCCCTGATCATAATGACCACAAACACTGGTGTCGTCTCACAGCTCAGGAAGCCTTCCAAAGGCACAGATGGGTGTTCTGGGTGGATGAAGCCACATGAGTGAAGGTGTCGAGGCTGGGCCTTGGGGTCAGCCCTGCCCCTAAAATTGCAGAGCCCAGGGCAAGGGTCCAATGGCCAAAGGCCCACCTGCCATGGATTCACTCCCCACACATGCACCCTTGACACTCCCCTTGGTCACCCTTGGTCTAGGACCACGCACACACTAATCCACACATCAGGAGAAAAGTCCCCAGAGACCCCAGAAGGGGGTCAGGGCCGCTCCGACAGGGGACCAGAGGGGCCCCAGGCCACGGTGCGTTTGGCAGGACCTGAGGGTGATCGGTGAAGTAGACAGACCTGGCCAGTCCCACAGGACCCTCACAACCTGGCTGGGAAGCTCGGGGGTGGTGCCTTGAGGGGACTGGGTGCCGTGGGCACACGGGCAGCTCTGTGCTGGGAGACGGGGCTCCGGATGCCGCGGGCAGGCAGTTGAGGGGGCACAGACGTGCTGAGCGGCCAAGCAGGATCCGTGACAGCGGTGTCCCCAGGCTGGAGTCCAGGGCACGGACTGTCTGGGATGCATTTGAGGGATCCCCCAGAGGGGAGGATTGCCCCCGCTCCGTGTGGAACAGGGGTGAGGAAAAGCAGCAGTGTGCAGGGGTAAGTGCTGTAACCACCGGCTCTCACGTGGGAAAAGCCCTGATTTGAAGCAGTGACCAGTTTCCATGGTGTAAATATTCCCACTGTAGCCGATGTCCAGATGCCAACAGGATGTCAGGAACAGAGTTGGGAAGAGAAACGCCATAGCACATCACCACGTGGCACCAGCTGGATAGCGCGGACACAACCTCCAGAGCAGAGATTAAAAAAGCAAGGTAATCAGGAACCGATGAGGTTTTTTGTTTTTGTTTTTGTTTTTTAATTTTAGTATTTATTTATTTTTGAGAGAGAGAGAGAGAGCAGGGAAGGGGCAGAGAGAG